GCTGACTGTCTATGAGTAAACCTATGAGTAAAATTATGAGTACTTGCATGAGTATCCATCCAGCAGCAGTAGTAGGCAGCCGCGCGCGCCCACAAGAAGTATTGTAAAGTCCTTCAAAGTCCTTCATCGACTCTTGTATGTTAGCTATTACCCATCACATGAACCAGCAAACCAACCACGCGCCATCACCAATTATCATCATCAACGTCATTATTCACAACATCATAGCCTTGATTGCCCTCGCTCGCTGCTTTCATCTGCAGCAGGTGCGTCGTCCCTCCCTCTCCTTCTGTGGCAAGAATTGTTCTTCTTCTTCGCTTCTTCTTCTTCTTCTATCTTCGCCTATTGACCTTCTTCCAGCCAATTTTCTTGTTTGCTGCTTTATGATCGTCGAGATAATCCGACACCACCATGAAGTAGCAGCAGCAGAAAAAGAGAAGAAGAGGTAATTAATAAAGTCGGTCATAGCAAGAGGTGGTGTTGAGGTACACATTTATTATCAGCGCTTATTCCTCTATGATGATCGTGTTGTTTGCTTGTTGCTAATGGAAGAAATAGTCGCAAGGTGAATGTGAAGTGAGAATGGAAAAGTAAGGAAGAAGAACGGAGCAAAAAGGATGGAGCACGATAAGTGAGAAGGTCAGTCAGAGCAGACAGTTATTGTTGTTTCTCATCGTTCGTCTCCTTAAATCCATAATTGTCGCAGCAAGAAGATGAACATCATGATGATGTTATCCTCTTGCGTTCTCCTCTTTGTACTACCGACCAAGCGCGGGTGGAAGCTTAGACTCTTGTACAACAGTGATGATCCATTAATACTTTGATCTTTAACAGTGAACACAAGGAGAATAACATTATTTCCGAGTAAGACAAGGAGCAGCATATATGTGATCACAATAATCAGTTCTTTTCTTTATTCATATGCGATGTTGAAAGGCTAGTTGGCTGCTACCGCTACTGCTGGTATTTTATCATGGTAGAGTCAATCATCATCCATGCTGCCTGCAGTGAAAAAGTCAAAGTCGTTTTCGATATCCTTCGCTGTAAGGATCCGGTCAGCTTTCGCATTATTCTCATCGTCCGTCTCATTCAAGGTCGATGATCCGGCA